AAAAAAACACAAATGCTATACTTATAATTAGTCTTTCTCTCTTTTTCCATTTCTCTCGTATCTAACAACATATTAAGTAACAGTTATAATTACATTTTCAAAATCAAATGTTACAAAAAAAAATGAACAAAACAAATAGGTCAATATTCATTGCAGACACAACAACAATTAGAAAAATAGTTTCTTGTTACTTTCAGTACATTGAATGTTGAATTTGATCTAGAATAACATAGACGTATAAATACCGGTATATGATCATCGTAGAAGACGATGAAAGAAGAAAACTTATACTGTTGATTTAAATATCGGAGATTTTTTCTTATGTCTATATATAATACAAAGTCGTGGAACTTAATTAATTCTCCGAAATAATGGAAAATATATTTTGACAGCAAACTGTAAAATGACCTAGTTATATCCATTACAAAGTTTGACAAAAAAAAGAAAAGAAAATAGATACTTTGGATTTCATGAATGATTTTTTTAATCAAATTCTTTGTTTCACACAGACAGTTCTCAATAATTTTTTTCTTTCAGATATTTTATATAAAAACTCTTGATATGCATAAGTTAATCTAAAAGTGTAGTAGAAATAGTTTTATATCTGATTTAAATTATCTAAATTTATAGTTATCAAAATTAAGAATATAATTATAAGAAAAAGATATTTGTTATGTGTGATTATAAAATGAAAAGAAAAGACTAGATTAGCGATTGAATCAGTCTGTTATATAAAACTAATCAGTAAAAAAATTTTTTGAAACACTATTGAATAAAAATAAACAAGGAAAGTTATGATTTGGTACCTTCATGTATCTTAGTTATGAACATAAACTTATACTCAAAAAAGATCAACAAACACAATTTTATTTTTCAGTAATGTTAAATATTGAAATTTTGTTAATATTCATATGAAATAAACAATACGTCGACGATGTTCTTAAATTAATCAACTAAACAGCAATGATTTATGAACTTCTTTTATTTCTTTTTCTTAAGAGTTATTCTCTCTTCTTCTCTCAAGAAAAAATATCAATTTCAACCAAAGAAATGGAAACTTGATCTACTTACATAATTATATCTCATAGGCATTGATCATTCCCATAATTCAATTACTACAAAAATTTGAAATAGAGAAAATCATCTTATTGATATTATGTTAGATCTTGATTTAAATAAATTATAGAAAAGATTTTTCAAACGAGAATAACCTATCACAGATAAAATATTTGTTGATTTTAGTTGCTTGTATAATTAGAAGAAATTATCTAATTGTAAATATTATTCATCATTACATTAGTTTAAATATAATTAGATCGATCATTTTAAAATTTGATTCCTATGAAACTTTTTAATACATCAGTTATTTATATTATTATCAAAAATATTCAAGTTAAGATATTCTATTTCAGTCTTTTAAATCATTACATGTATCAAACTGAAGACAGTACGAAATATTTTATAATATATTACGATTTCTTGATTACACAATCTCCGTATAGGGTTTAATATCATCAGTACTAGGCGATATTCAATAATCTCCGAATTCAGTTTTATCACCATCAATTCTTATTAAAGTCTTTGGATTTAATCGATTCTGAAGCATCTTGAGGGTGGGTGTGGGTATGGGTGAGATGATATTTTACCCTATGTATCATCTATCGATGGCTTGAAGGAACTTTTGAAAGTTAAAATTATTTTCGAAGTTGAATCAGACAGTTATTGTACATAACATTTGTTTTTATCACATTATGTCTTCACTAAGAAAAAAAAAGAAAGAAAGAACTAGAATTCTTTTATCTTACATCTAAAGTATATAGTCAACAGTTGCTAGTAATATCACTATTTTTTTTCGAAAACGGTGAGTAAACTATTATTCATTTATATGAGTAACACTTACCGTGGGTAAGAATACAATAGAGGAATAGTATCAGGTAGAGATTGTATGCCTTTTAGTATAGATACCATGTCAAAAAACAGAACTACAAAAGTGACTGATCATCATCCACTCATTCATTTATTTTGAAACTACAGATTCCCAGTCATCTATAAAATCATATTTAAATTTGTTTTATACGGAAGAACTTATATACAAAATCTATTCAATACCAATCGATGTAACCATACCACAATTAACCATTTATTATTCGTAATCATATTAAAAATTGTCTTCAAATTATTTCATTATTTAGAACCCGAACAAGTTCAATACAGTTGTCGATGAAAAATTAGTTATCTTAAAACACATCTTCTTTTTTTTTTATTTTGGTATCCTTTTATGATAAAGAGCTCTGACGAATATTTTGATTTGAAAATAAATAACACAAAACATTGTCGATGAAAATTAAAACTTCGTATTTATTTTAATTTTATGAAGCACATCTCTAATAAGAATATTAATTGTTGATATATAAATCGATTACTAAAAAGCAAAAGTTGAAGCGAGTAATTTCTGTTGATAAGTATAATGGAAAAAATTAAAGATTATAATAAGTTTGAAGATAAAAATGAATAAGAATTGAAAGTTTTCTAACTAATAAAAATCAAAAGTTCTCTAACTAATAAAAAGTCTTTTTTCTTTTTTGTTTCATTTATTGATTGTAACTTAGTTGTATTCTGTTTTCTTCATCTTCTTTTCACATAATTCTGTTATATACTTCAAAATATTTTCAACGTTTGGAGTACCAAGCCCTGTTACTGGATCCCAACCACATGCAGCTTGAAAACCTTTACATTGATCTGTGCAAATGGTTGAAGTACATTTGTTATTTCCAACTGTTATATCATTGAAGCATTCTGGACATTCTTTAGCCATCTTGTAGAGTAATGGATTGAGAAAGCCTAATGTTTTACCTGTTATTTTTATTGAACGAGCATTGAGAATTGAGACAATACCAGCCCACAATGGTGATGACATGCTTGTACCACCAACTAAGTAAAGAGAATCATTTGCTACAGTAAAAGCATTTACACCAAGTGCAGCAACATCTGGATAAGCCCGTCCCTTTCGATTGTACATTGATGATGGAGGGTACATCTCTGGTATTTCATTAAGGTAATATTGCTCATTTAGAAAATAACGATCAACAGCATGTTTTTGATAAGGTGGTTGAGGAGCAAAGTTTGAGAATCCACCACCACTAGTAAAATCAGTAAAAAAAGGATCATTAACACTAACAGCGATTTCATCTCCACAATATGCACACACGAGTGGTGGATTGAACGCACTACAAGCTAGTGGTTGATCTTGCAAAGCGTTGTACTGTACATTAACTAATGTAGTTGCACCAACTGATGTTACGAAAGGTGAAGAGGCTGGATATGTGGGATTAAATACTTTATTTGTACAATTTGAAAAATAATCATTTGCTCCATCATCACCACTTGAGGCTAAAACTGTAATGCCTCTCAATGCTAATTTTATAAATTCAATATTTGTACGAATAAAATATCTATGTTTCGGATCCACCACGTTTTGATCACAGGGGATACCTGGTACACACAGATTTAATTCATAGATACCGTACGAAATGGACAGAATTTGTGGCAGCTTATCTGATTCAGTTAGTGTAAGCATCTTTATCAGTATACCATCACTAATTATGTTCTTCACGTCATCATTGAAATACCAAATTTTAGACAAAGGATTTATTGCCATCATTTGTTCAATATCTAACATTGTCTCGATGCCTGGATTCGATTGATCGTTAATACCCTCAGTATGGATTGGTTTGAACGGTATGCCTAAGAATTCACAAAATATCTGTAAATCTTCTTCACTATAGTTTTGACCTTCAAACTCTAGTGCTCCTTGCGAAACATTTGACTCTAAACCAGTTTTCAAGACATCTGGAATCTTGTAACACAACCTAACAGATGGAGGAACAATCATAGGGATAATTTGAGTAGTTGCTGCATCCCTAGCATTTCCATCATTTGGAATGAGTATACGTTTTTTAGATGAACCGGTAGGTTTACTGTTGGTCAATGTGTCATCATTCAATCCAAGGAAAAAATCAATAAGATGACTAATTTCATTCGCCCAGCAAACGTCGTCATGAGTTCGATGGATAGTTTTTCCTGTCCTTGAATTTTTATACGTACGAAATTGACCTGAAAATAATTTTTGTACATGTCGAATTGTTGTCACAATCTCAAATACATCAGTTCCAATTAATCTTACGGATTTGAATGATTGCTTCCAAAGCCAGTATTTAACTGCAGTCAAAACTTGATAATCGAGTGTAAGAATTCTGTTGATTTCTGAACGCGTCAGCCAGTTCTGATATTCACTGTTAACGGGATCCGTGATTTTCCAGAGTATTTCATTTAATTTCTGCACTGCTTTTGGATCTTGTTTTAGAACCATAAAAATTGTAATTGGTTCATTGGGATCCGGTGAGTCAGACACGAGAGTCCACCAGGAAGGAACTTGACCTTTTGACAGAATAAATGTAGTGAAAATCAAAGGAACAGATAGGTTTTTATAGAGATAGAAAACAATAGAAAAATATTTGTTGTAAGATCAATAGATACAAGAGCACATACACACTTCTCGAAGAACAAACGCTGTATCCTGTACTAACAATGAAATGAATTTACCCTATTTGTTTTTAAATCTATTATACATAACTAAAAATTATGAAGATAGACTACATATTATCATAGATTTATTTTAAATAACAGATAATGTTTAAAGTACAAAAACTCTACCAGTAGAAAAGTTATATCTTCGATTTTTAGAACACAGAATGAAAATTTTCGAATTATTCTAATCAGAATTGACCTTAATAATGTATAGTAGAATTATTAGACATTGTAAATGATCAGTCGAAATAGAAACAAGTGTCGGTTAATAACTATTGTGAAGTAAGAAATCGGTACAACATCCTTCTGTAGTATTCATGATTTTGAGTTTCTTTTCTTTTCTTTTTCATTTTGATTAGTTGGCATGCGAATGTAGATGCTCTATGTAGTATATGAACACATATCAAGAACTCAATCTCCTCTCATTAACATATAATAAGCTCGAAAAAGTTTCTCTTTCACTGTAGTTTTCTTGGAACCAGATTTTCAAACAGAAGTTTTAAGTTTTGCCTCAATTGCTTCTACAGATGTGAGTGGGGTGGAAATTTTAAATGAATATAGCATATTCATACTGTTAAATCATATGTATCGAAGAAAGTAGAAGACTTCAAGAAAACAATTGAACAAGTTCTATTATATCTACTTGAAACATTGATAAAAAGAAAAAGCCACATTTAAATCTCACTATTCGAGATAAGATGCACAATTGGACTTACCATTTAACATGGATGGTTGGCATTTTTTTTTGTCTGGTTTAGGTGATTCTAAAAGAAAAACATCGTTGTAAGTTTATCATTTTGTATTTATATACGTCAATCGAAATAGACGCTTTATTTATAGATAAGGAGGTTCTTCTTTCTCAAAAAAATGATACAGGAGAGAAGTATTTCTCCTACTGGTACTAAATCTGATCGATTATATATTTCTGTAGTTGAATCTTCCTCTGAATACATCTACTTTGTACAAGTGTAACCAACGTTTTCCATTTTATCACATGGTGGAGGAACACGCCAGAAGTGAATGATACATACCAAGAGTTAATTCATTGCTTTTGTTCAGTTTGGTGGAAAGATTTCTAGTTCAGTACATGACGCACGAACACACAACAAATGAATAATTCATAGCAGCATTCTATTCAATTATTTTGCTCAGTACGATGCAATGATTCGGAGTTCATATCATGATTGAGAAACAGACGATAAGTGAATATTTTCTAGGAAGATTTATTCAAATATTTTGTTCAATGCAAACGAAGCTGTTAAGTTAGTGAGGTTGATGGTGATCATATGAGAAATGAGTATTTACTATAGTTCTATTCGAATACTGGGATGTTTATCTTATGGGGTATGCATGGTATGCTTAGAAGAAGAACCTCGTGGAAATTGAATGATCTGTATTTTTGTTGATTAAGTCGAGAAGAACACTATTGGGTTCTGCAACTTGATTCACTTCTTTCTCCTCTCCCCGTACCATGCAGCTTGTTGTCATCAAAACCAAGAAGGCTATCAAATAAGCCTTTTGATTCATAATGTGCATTGTCGTAGCTTGGTGCTTGAATGTTTGAAGATCGAATTGCCAATGTAGTTGAGCAGATATGGAATTGTATGTTTCTGTAGTCTTGCTGGTGCTTTATATATACGTAACTCAGTAAGGAGGAATCTTCGAGAAGTAAATATGTCAACAATCGAAAGTGATTTATTGCAATATTGAGGATGCACGTCAGTGTTATTATCTTCACCAACATACGCATTCTTTTATTTTATTTTTCATTATTTCATTTTGATTTATTACTCTATTTGATTTCATTTTATTTGATTTCATTTTGATTTATTATTCTATTTGATTGCATTTTATTTTCACCAATCGATGATCTTTTCTCGATCTTTCGAGATATTTATTTTTTTTGATTATCAGGCCAGGGGCGTAGTCAGAAGGGGGTGCACAGATGCCGTGCACCCCCTTGGCCAAAACAATCTGAAGGAGGAAGGAGATACTGATAAAGAGTGTTGTCACAAGACAAAAAACTATTTTTTCACTGATGTGCACCCCTCATGTAAAATTCCTCGCTACACCCCTGTATCAGGGAAGATTCTTCTTTTATTCCTTGTATACAAGATTCTTGCCTGAAAAAATATGATCTTGTCTTTTTAATAAGATTCTTGTATTCTCTCCTTCTTGTCTGATTCTTACCATATCAAAAAAAGCCTTTCATAGGTTATTAATAACAAATAACGCTCGTTTAGAGACTCGCTCAGCTCTTCATCGTAGAAATGATGTGTCTTCGCTATCAGTAAACTATTTGTTCAAACAATTTCAAAAACCGACTTTAAATTTGAGTTCCACGATCTTGATCGTTGTTCGGTCAACTCTTATAAAAAATATTTCTTTTTGTAGAAAAGTATTCATCTGTCTAAAACAAATTTAAGAAACTAACACCAGATTCGTTTTTCTCGACCCCGATTACCTTTGGTTAAGTTTTACCGAAAAGGATCCCTTTTGTTTCAACATCATTATTCGACCAATGGATGAAGTGCGTACATACAAACAAGCAAGCAACAAAGCATACGATTTATTTCTTCTGGGCTCTTCTCTACGAGAAAGAGAACATTCCATTGTTGTCTTTATATTGAATAGAAATATTTTCTATAGATTCACTTCGAATAAAGAATTGTTCGATGTAGTCTAAATGCAACGAACGCTTGAGAAAAAATATATGTTAGAAGTATATCTGCTAGTTAAAATATCATTACAATGAATAAATAACGATCAGACATCTATAGATATACATATGTTCAAACAAGATCTACATCATGTGTAGATGATCTTGGAAAGGTGAGAAGAATCTTATCTTGATACTAAGAAACTTAAAAAACCTTATATTTCTTTCTAGTTTCTTTATTTTTATGATGCTCAGACAAGATTCTTTTGTTCTTCAACATCAAACAAGATTCTTCTTAAAGGAAAGGAAAAAGATTCTTGTCTGAACTTTATATATATCTTGAATATCTTATAGTTCTTGGCTGATTCTTTCATTTTTGATTAATCAGACAAGATTTTTTTCAAGAAGAAAGTAAAAAGAATCTTGTCTGGATATGAGAACCTCATCCGAAAGTTAAGAAAAACAAGATTCCAAAAAAATCGAGGCAAGATCGTTGACTAGTTTTATTCTTTTATTTTTATTTTATCGTATTGCATTTTACGACTTTTTTTTATTTTATCTCATTCCATTTTATTGCATTTTGATTTATTACTTTTTTGCACTTTTATCGCATTTCAGTATAGTGCATTTTATTTTATTACTTTTTTTTATTTTATATCATTCCATTTTATTGCGTTTCATTTTATTACTCTGTTTTATTCCTTTGCCTGTAACGTGAATCATACGAAATAAAATACGTTTGTATGTATGTGGGTGTCAGGGTGAAAGAAAAGTATTCAAGATGAAAGAATACATAACGCGTTATAAAACTTGATTAAAAGATTTTTGGGGGCCGAGACTTTGAATCTGTGATCTGTTTAGTGAGACTGCTCAGGAGGAAAGGTAAGGGGGAGGGGAGTTCGGTGTGAACTAATAGAAATCGATTTTTTGAGAAAAAGCATTTCTGTAGATACTTTGATGTTGTATTTCTTGTAGAGAAGTATGCAGAAAGCCGAAATTGTTTGCTTTCTCACTTGTATTACCTAGATCAACCAATCTGATGTAGGATCCTATCGGATTCTAATGATCCGACAAAATTCTATAAGATTCTTGATGACGGATTCGCTGCGGATTCCATCGTTTCAATATTCCATCGGATTCAAGTATCGAATTTCATAGTATCCTACAGACAGATGCCATAGATATCTAAGGCCATAGATCAACATAGCTAAAAAGAACGCTCATAAAATTTACAGCGGGTAACTGACATTTTGCGAGCGGAATCCAACACAAATCCGTTGCCAGGAACTCCATAGGAACGTAGGATGATCGGATCCTATAAGATCCTACCGGATCTGTTGTCGGATTTGTGAATCTGAGTAGTTTTCATACTGTACTTATTAGTTGAAGGTTTATCTAAGAAAAAATTGATGTTGGAATCTCAAACATGACTCCATTTTCGTGTACTACTGATTAGCATGCGATTACGCGTTGAGAAAGCTGAATAATCTTGTGGAATATTAAAGAATCATAGAGAATTTGTGGGACTCCATGATTCGGCGCTTTTCCTCTTGACGCGTGGTTGTGTGAGGTTGTAGATATGGCTAGCAGACCAATATATCACTGGCACCCACTTTCATCCATCCACCCATACTCTACACTCTCATTGTTTGAGAGCGCATGTATACTTATGATAAAATGATTCTTTGCAAAACATAGATAAGAACAGCAAAAGTGACTTGCTTTATTTTGCCCACATGTTAAGACGTTACAAAAAAAGGTATAAATAATAAATTATCTCATACAAAACTACACTTTGTTAGTGTTTGCTCACGTCTTTCATCTTAATAAACGAACATTTTTGCTTCTCTTATGAAACCTATATTGTTGTGTATGATTCATTTATAGAAAGAACAAAGTATTACACATTATAAAAGAAATAGATTGTCTAATAGATTTTATTTGAAAATAAAAAAAATAAAAATTTTGATTATTTAATTAAATTGAATTGAACCTATTTATAAACCATTATCATTGTCTTATGACAATTTGTTAGAAAGAAATATAATATCATTTGATTTTTTATAAAAATTTAATCGATCAAATCAAATTTAACTATTAACAAATATAAATGATTTTTATTATTAAATTCAACGTCTTATAGCTGTTATTGACGAGTTTTATCATCATATATTAAGATATTTTTCGTTAACTTATCATTACATTCAGAGGATTTTTTATTAAAACTAGGTAATACATATGATGATAATATAAGATCTGATTATTTTAAAATATTGACTTTATTGATTAATGATTCTCAATCAGATAATAAACAGATTTTAATCGAATATGTCACGAATACCTTTATCATTTTAATATTTATTATGAAAAAATTAAATCTTTTATAAATGAATCAAAAATTATCGATTTAACAAAAGATAATATCAAACATTTAATAATTAATGGAAAAAATATTCGAATAAATTTATAAAAAAAAATGAAGAATTAGGTAGAAATGTATTCTTAAAAATGCATAGAATAGTCCAAGGGATGATTATGAAAGTAAATTTTCTTCTTATTCTATAAAGTTATAAAATAAAAATATTTCCATTGAGTTCATTAGATTTTCATCAAGAAATTAATAATGAATGAATTCGCATTTGAAATTTAAAATTAGATGAGAGCCCTTATTTAAATTTTATGAAAATGGATTCAACATATCAAATGAATCCTAATGTTTTATATATAATGGAAAGTTAAATTCTATTTCAATATATATGATTGAAATAAAATTCAATAGAAAATGAAAGATTTTATAAATTCAAAAATCTTTCAAGATATCATTTTAACAATTCCATATAATTATGAACTTATTGATTATGAAATAGATTCGATTAATTATAATGTGATTATAAAATAGAAATAAATTTCATTTAGTAAACGACCATTAGCAGCTAAATTGTCATAAATAATTGATAGAGATACTTTCTATTATTGTTTTTATAGAATGTAGGTAGGTGCGGTTGTGGGCCAAGAAGCTAACAATACCCAACCCACACCCACCCTCAAAACGCGCCTTGGTACCTGTTCACACCCATACCTTCATGAAATGTTCGTATAGATTGAGAAGTTAAAAAGACAATGCTCACACCTTCAAATTGTTTTTCTTTTCATCAAACTCCTATGAAAAAACAAGAAGACAATCAAAATCTTTTCATAAAAAACCTTCATTAATTTGGTTTTGTTTGATAAAGAAGAACAAAATTCAATTTCGAATCATTTTTCATTTAAACAAAAACAACAATTAAAATTAAATATATTTGAAGAAAAACTTTTTATTATGAGTTCAAAAGAAATAAAATGTCGAATTTCTTTATTTAAAATTTATATGATCCAAAATCTTTCGAAATTAAAAATCAAATTTTGAATTTTATATTATTTTTTGAGCTTTCTTTCTGAATTCTTTTTTTCCTCTTTTCATCTAAATGAAAATGTACATCGATTTATTTCAAAATTTCGAATAAAATTTGTTTTCATTTTGACAAAACATTTTTGTGTACTGAAAAAGTGAGCACACTCTAGGATCGGTCAGCGTGGCCGTCCGTCCGTTTACTTGATAATTTTCGAAGGGAGAGGCAGATTTTGAGGGTGTGGGTGTGGAATGAAAAGAAAACCCACACCCACCCTCAAAATGATCTTCTTTCCGAATAATTCGTACTTCATTTCAATTTAAATTAAAAAAGTATTCTTTTTTCTTATCTTCTATAAAATTCAAAACAAATTAACAAAAGATAAAGAATTCAACATTTATTTATCCGAATTTTATTCACAAGAGTATTTCAAATTTTACAATTCGATGATTAAAACTCTCAGTAACATAAAGATTTCCTTCATCATCAAAAGATAAACCACGGGGATACTTCAGTTGATTTCTTTCATCATTTCCTCCAACAATAATTTCACCTTGTTCTTTTCCTTCACACCAACGCATCACTCGATGATTTCCGTAATCTGCCACATAGATTTGACAGAGATGATCAACAAACAATCCTCGAGGAAACCACAATTGGTTGAGATTTTCTCCTCGACCATTTCCTCCAACCACAACTTTCCCTTCTTTTGCATCTTTTCTCCATTTCATCACACGATGATTGTTCCAATCTGATACATAAACAGATTGATTTTCATCGACAAAGATAAAAGTAGGATAGTTGAGTTGATTAAGCTGATTTCCTTGTCCGTTTCCACCTGCTATTACAATTCCTTCACTGTTATATTCTCCCATTTTCCAACGTCTCACTTCATTTTTCTTTCCATCAGAAACATAAAGAAATCCATATTTATCCATTGCTAAGCCACAACAGCCAATATTATCAATGAGAATTTGTTGAGTTTGATTCGAATATTGAATAACTCGTCTGTTTCCTTGGTCAGCAATGATAATCGAATGACTTTGTTGATCAACAATCACATCTGTTGGTAGATCCAATTGATGCATCCGATTTCTATCTGCAATAATGTTTCCTTCTTTTGCATTATATTTCCATTGAACAATACGATGATTCATCCAATCAGCAATGATAATACTTTTCTTTTTATCGATAAAAATTCCTATAGGACCATTCAGTTGATTTAATTCTTGTCCTTGTCCATTTCCACCAGCTACAGTGATAGCATTTTGTTTCCATTTATCCCATGTTGGTTCTAGAAAAGACAAATTTTATTTGATATTTTTGTTGAGTTTTGAAAAAAAATTCTACTAGAAAAGAACATAAAACAATTTGAAATTTATTCTTTTTCGAATCGAAATATCGAAGCGAAAGAATATTTTTTCTGAAAGATAGTTTATTTATTCATTACCTATAAAACCTTGTGTTTTGCTATTTGTCATTGCCATGTCGTCGAATATTAATTTTTCTTTTGAGAAACAAATAATTCACTTATCTAGTTTTATAAATATAAACTTAATAATTCGATGACAATAGGAATGTTGTTCACTAATAGAAGAAATCGAAAAAGACGTTTGGTTGTGGCAAGAATTACTAACTGTAAGAAAACTTCCGTAATAAAATTGGTTGAATTAAAGTTAAAAACGATTTTATTTCAATTTAAGAGAAAAATGAATTCGGAAGCTCAGAATCGGTTGTGTTAATACTTATATTAATAAATCTTCTAAAAACATAACATTTTTTCTTCATTATTACTTAGATTTATCAATCTTAGATTCGGATTCTGTTAGCTTAATTGTTGGTATCTGATAATAAGTAACCGATCGTATTCTAATAACATGAACGAACAAAATCGAACAATATTGCTTCACTAAGTAAGTATTCGAATTTTTTTACCAGCTATCATTGTAAATATAAAAAACTTTCTTTTGATAGCTATCTCAAAACTCCATGAAAGAGTGTAATAAGCAAAAATATAAAACATTAACGATCTTATTAATCAAGTCTAACGACTGCAGTGGACACTACAAAAAATCAGATCGAAATGCTTGTACTATTCTACTACCGTATTTATCAAAGTAAAATACTATATATAGCTTCTTTCGGTGCCACCTACATAATTCCTAAAAAGTAAGCATAACCTTTCTGCATCGTTACTATCTTTTTATATTCATTAACAGAACTCAATATTTCTGAATTTTCAACTAAATTTCAAATTTATACATCAATCAAATGTCACCGTAAGCTACCTTCTATAACTATCTATACCAGTGTGGGACCTAAAACTAGGGTAGTTATAACTCGGGTTATAACTTTTTGGGTTATAACCGATCAACTTTTTGGCCAAAAAGTTAATTGAGTTATAACTATCAACCGTAGTTGTAAGTTATAACTACGGTTGATAGTTATAACTCTGGTTGAAAGTTATAACTTATAACTTTAACCAGAGTTATAACTATCAACCACAGTTATAACCATCAAACGCATCAGTTTTGTCAATCTTACTAGTACTTAGAGACAAAATTGATGCGGTTGATAGTTATAACTACAGTTGATGGTTATAACTCAGGTTGAAGGTCATAACTGCGGTTGATAGTTATAACTCTAGTTATAACTGTTTTAACTTTTTACCGATTTTGTCAACTACTAACTTTTTAAAAAATAATTTTAACTCCCACACTGACGCGTAATTATGGCTATCTTGAACTGACTTTGAACTGAAATAGTATGAATAATTAATCTTCAGTGCTGAAAAGGCACATAGCTTTTGTTTCTTCTTCTTTATTATAAGAATAATATATCTATATGATCACTATATATCGCCAAGGATTTTAAGAATTGTTCAATTGTTTTGCTGGTCGCTTTTAAAAAAGCATAGTTTCAAAAAAAAATATACATTAAGAAAAAAGAAGAAAGACAGGAGAACATTACCGATCGATCTTTCACATGATTAAAGGATTTAGGAGGTTCCCATTTGACAAAAGTTGCTAGTTATAACTACGGTTGATAGTTATAACTCTGGTTAAAGGTTATAACTACGGTTGATAGTTATAACTCCGGTTGAAGGTTATAACTACGGTTGATAGTTATAACTCCGGTTGGAGGTTATAACTGCGGTTGATAGTTATAACTCTAGTTATAACTGTTTTAACTTTTTGCCAATTTTGTCAACTATCAACTTTTTGAAAAATAGTTTTAGGTCCCACACTGATCTATACCCTTGTTTTGTTTTGTGTCGTCAGCTTTAAGTTATCCCGATCGATACACATGATTTTTAAACTAAAAGAGATGCAAATAAAGTCTACCCTATGGAAAGGAATAGACAAAAGAATGTAAACAACTCCACATTCTATAGAAATAAAAGAAAGAAAGTAAAGAGTTTTTAGTCCTTGAAGAACACAAATGATTTTTACCGTCTAAAAAAGAATAGAAAAAGGAAAGCAAAGAGGTTCTAATTCTTGAGAAACACAACTAAATTTTACCGTCTAAAAAAGAGTAGAAAAAGGAAAGAAAAGAATTTTTAATTATAGAAAAATAAAATAAAATTCTACTCGAGAAAAAGAAATAAAAAGAAGATTGAATGCTAGTTTTGAGTGTGAACTTTTAATCTTGAGGGTGAGGGTGGATGCTGATGTGTTTCTTATTTGTAATATATTTATACTCACACTCACGTTCACCGTCTCAAGAAATATACACAATATTATCTATATTGTATAGGAATGGTGCGATCGTTTTCGGCTTTTAAATTATTCAAGATAGTTGGTATTCGATATTTTTTTTTTCGAAGTTATTACATCAATTCCACATACCGCTGCGATCCCTGCATTGCTTTTTTCTTTTCAATTTTGAATACTTCTAAAATTTAATCCAATAGAACTTTCTAATACATAAATAATTCATATTTCACTTTAATTCAAATCATCAAATGTTTTCCTTTTTTTGTAAAATGTCATAAGAATCAGCAAAATATGAAGAACTTGACATTTATTTATTCCAATTTTATAAGCAATTGTGAAGAAAAAAAATAAAACGATTTTTCTTCTATTATTTTCTTACTAAAAAATTTCTTTTTCTTCAAATTCTATTTAGTTTTTTCATTGATTTTCAATAATAACTCTTTGATTTTTCTTTTTTTAATTTCAAAATTTTATTTACAAAATTATTTCAAATTTTTTAATTCGATGAGGGTGTGGGTGTTATAATCTTCTCTCATCTACCCACACCCACACCCACACCCTCTAGTAAGATTCTTTATAATACAAGTAACGTTCGTCTGGAGACTCGCGCAGCTCTTTCTCGTAGAAACGATGTGTCTTAACTATCAATAAACCATTTATTTAAACAATTTCGAAAAATAACAGTAGATTTCAGTTCTTCGATCCGGAGTACCCTTTGGTCGAACTTTTTAAGAAGAAATCCATTTTAGTGGTTTCATTTTATTTTTCGACCAATCAACGAAGTGCGAACACATAATCAAGCAATCAGAAAATTTATGTTTACTGGACTCTTCTCTACGAGAAAGAGAACTTGAAAATTCGGCTGGTGTCGATTGTTGGATTCATCAAATTGATAAATCACATAATTGTGTCGTGATAATCACTATTTCTGAATGATTATTTTTTACAAATGTGTATTGTCATGGTACTGTATTCAAATGTCGACCCCAATAAGCACAGAAAGTCTCAAGGCAAGCTAGTAATGGTTATTTACTTCAGATTGCCCATATGCTAATGAACTGACAAGATTATGACATGCAGCGGATAGTATCAGAGTAGATGTAGGTATGAGTTTCGATTATCTCTTTCTCAGTCTGATCCACAGAAACACCCACGCTCTCACACATATCCACACACACATTCTCAATATGAATGCATTTGTATTTCTATAGGCAAAGATCATAAATGAGTAGTTCATATCGCTTTAATTCTATAGGTTGAATTCACAGTCAATTATTAGAAGATTTCTTGAGTAATCATTTTTATCTTTATTTTAAACGTATAAGCATGCATATACAATCACAGTGACATCAGCCCAACGAAGTACAGCAAAAGAGAAACGACCGCATGTATATTTATATAAGATAATGTATATGTATATGCAGAGTATAATACGAGAAAACAAGCACAACAAATGTTGACAATATGCAAGTGAAGATATCATATAAGAAAGAGACATGCTTTAAGGTTGAACACTTATGACAAATCAAGAAAAAGTCAACACATTAACTGGGTTTTTTAAAGTTTTACTGTCAACGATAATAATCAGTGGTAAGTCATTATACACTAGCATGTTGTTAGATTAAACATTTGCATTCGATTGTTATTTCTATCAGAAACCAATAAGTTATTATATTTATCAAAGATGGCTGTGTCAGGGAAATGGAGTTGATTCGGTGCTGCTCCTTGTGTACCACCAACGAGTGTAGTACCACTACTCGCATTTTGCAGCCAACGTTGAATACGATTGTTACCTGAATACGAAAACAAGTAAGACGAGATTATTTAATCTATAGTATATTTTCTTTTGTCAAAATTGCTCTTACCTGCATCACCTATATAAAGAGTTCCACTACTATCGACCACTATATTTCTTGGATTATTCAGCTGATTCGCTCCACTACCGGCTCCATTACCTCCAGCGACAACTGTTCCATAAGTTGAACTCGTTGAACCTGATGGGTATTTCATTATGCGATAATTACCATTATCACTAACGTACAAAGAATTTGTATATAAATAGTCATAGCAAACACCAGTTGGGCCTGACAGCTGATTCAAAGCACTTCCAGCTCCATTGCCACCTATATATAAGGATAAAACCAATATTAAACGAAACATCTCTTTGAAAGAACATTATATACCTGCTGCAACAACCGGTAATCCACTACCTCCAACAAATTTGTATACCGCATTGTCATTAGTGCTAGCTACATAGGTATCATTAGTCAATTGATTTATGGATATTAGTACTGCTTGCGCTACAACCCCGAGAAGTGTTCCAGATGTCGTTGAATTTGAATTTGAAGGAAATCTAAGGACCTGACCGCAGCCAAAATCTGCTACATACAATCGATCAGAACTATCAAAATCTATTCCATTAGGTCTATAAAGCTGGCTCATGTTGCAATCAATGCCATTGCCTTCAGCAATTACTGTTGCAACTGACGGTGAGTTGTTGATAGAAAATTGTAGAATACGTTGATTTCCATTATCCGCAACAAATAACATATTATTAGGACCGTCATAATACATTCCAATTGGACCAGAAAGAAGTGTAAGGTTAGAGCCAGATGTACCTGCTTGGCTGCCAAATATAGTAGTTGCATTTTGTGACCAGGATGATTGAGAAGATAAAGAACATACTATACAAAAAAGAAAGAAAAAAACAACAGTTTTACTATCCAACACTTATAGACTAGTTCGGACATCATAACTAAGATGTTCTTATTATATTTTTATGACTAACTTGTCGAGAAATGTTATACATGATGTAATGAGCATAAATTGCAAATAGTTTTACCAAACTATGTCTCTTATATTATCGTAATTTGTACATTATACCAACAACACACATCTTTTTTCAATAACTTGAGAAGTTTTAAATAACTCACCTGTTGTTGTCGTTGTTGTTGATGATGATGTTGTTGTTGAAGTCATCTGATCTATATTGAAAAAATGAAATTTAAAAAGGGACAGAATAGTTGGATAAAGTTTCGCCCAAAACCTTGCATGCTTCGTTCTACTAATAGTGTAGTTGATTATGAATGCATTATGATAAATTTTACATAAGTTCCAATGGATTTACGAACCTTACGGCTTCTATAATGTTTATTTATAGCTATAGTTATACTAGAATAGTTCAAGCCGGCAAGTCTACATGAAATGCAACTTTAGCATTGGTTCATTTAGAGTCCTATACATCTGTGAGCAGATGTGTTCTATTTATACTAACCCGATGGAAATCGTGTTCCACTAATAACATTCATACTGGTAGCATCGACATCAGCTAATATACTTCCATTTTGGTTCAACATATTATCAAATATTTCACAACTAGAAGTTGATCGATGAAAAGTAGCTGCTTTGCATCGACTTTGAGTTAAACAGGCTACTTGACAATTCAGAATATTTGATGTAAAAACATTAATAAATGGTATACAAGTTGTATTCGCACATTGAAATTTGGAATCAACCAATAGAGACAATATCATTGATTGTGTATCTTCTCCGACTACTTGTGCAGTAATCATAAATAAAAGCCATAAACAAATTCTTCCTGAAGCCATTACCAACTAGACTGTAAGTTGATGAAATGAATTTAACTCGTAATACAAGAGAAAACAACTGTTGAGAAATAAATTCTATTTTTTTTTTGTCTCTTTCTCTCTCTTTTTTCTCAATTCATCTCATCATTGAATTAAAAAAACAATCTTGACTTTTTTATTTTGAAAGAAGTTTATTCATTCGGAGAGGTGACTTTTTTTGTTTAAATATTATTCAAAGACAAATATATTCACAAATGAAGCTTTTGAGTTATATGAAAAAAGAGTAACATCAAGAACAATCCATCCAACAAAACTGAATTTGAAAAGAAAATATAATTAACATTTAGTTGTAGATAAAATTCCTATAAAAAGTAGATTAACTCAATTGAAAATAATTTATATATATTCAAATCTGAATATTTCAAATGTATCAGTGACCTATCACATCATTCATATCGAATAAAGTCAATCTTTAATATCTAAACGAAGAATAATCAGATGAATTGTTTGATTAGACAAGAAAACTGAACACTTCTTGAAAATAAAATACACTCGATTTAGGAGCGGCTGCCTAATTCGACTTTGAATATAAATGGAAAAAAACTCGAAACGCAGTATTCTTACAATCGAACAAAAAAATTTCAAACTGTAATTTATAGTTCGAATTCGACGGCACTTATGTTAGTTTAGAAAAAAAAAGGAAAAGAAAAGGTTTACTTAAATAATAATTTATAATTAAAATACCAAGGCATCTATGTTAGTTTAGAAGAAAAACAAAAAGTTTACTTAAATTATAATTTATGATTCAAATACAAAGATATCTATGTTAGTTTAGAAAAGAAAGGAAAAGAAAAATTTACCTAAATTACAAGTAACACGGCGCAATTGGCGCTGATCATCTACTGAAAGAATGTGATCAGATCAGTCAACATACTTAAAATAAGATAGAGATTTGCTTTAGTTCATGAATCAAATCACTTCTCAAAAAGTCTTTTACTATGAATCATTTTACTTACTTCAAGCCTCTTAAATAAACGTCTAATCGTTCGTCGGCCTTAAGGGTGGGTGTGATTTCCTCATATGTGATTTTCGGCTGTTTTCCGAGAAGTTTTGGTTTTGTGAACATCTAATATTCCTGTTTTTTGCATGCATGTGAGTAGAATGTTGATTTCTCTAATAACTTACGTAATTTCAATAAGATAAATTTAATTATTACATTTAAAGCAGTTTTGATTGTTATTGAACTTACTGTTATTGAAATCTGATAGTGCAAAAGTTTTGTTTCAGGACTTTTAGGATAAGATGTGACATAAATAAAATAAAAAATATATTATTTTATAGAGTAACCGATGCTCAATCCACGTATATCTTGAGGGTGTGGGTGTGCATGTTATAATCTTCTCTCATCTACACTCACCTACACCCACACCCACTCACACCCTCGAGATGCTTATCAAGTTTATCAGCAATTTAAAAGACATCAACGATGAGCTCTCTTCGATCTTGAAGGAATTTGTTGAGAAGCTCTGAACGGCATTGAGCATACATTGAAATTTGCTATTGACAATGAGAATAATAAAGTCGTCTAATGCGTTTGGTATAATTTTTTCAGGTGTAGAGAAGCAAAAGTTGTCGTCGAGAATGTCAAATTGCTTCTATCGCAACAGCTTCGTCTATTGAGTTTCTCCCTACCGCCGCAAGGCTGTCACTTTTTGTGAGACGTAAATGGCAGAGAAACGCCAGCATTTTTTCTAAAGAAATCTTTCTTCATAGTGTTTTTTTTTTATTATCGCCTTTTACCAAGTAATAATGGCTTGCTCCGACGAACACGATCGACTACTCTCGGAAAAGATCGACGATGAAGTTCTACGACTTCTAAAAGTCCGCGATATTGAAGATTTGATTGTGAAATATGACCGTTTTGCACGGGATCATTCTGATATTGTTCGTCGATTGCGACGTTCCTTTGTCGATCGAGTAATCAATCATTTTCTCAATCGAGCGCTTGGTTCTGCCATCGGAGCCGATGAAATCAGCTTAACGTGCAACTTGATCGAAGAGTATTGTTGTAAACATCAAACGGATCTTCATGTGATTTTCGACCACTTTCACAGTGATATTGCAACTGTGGTAATGAATAGAGGTTTAGTACCAAACTGGACTTCATATCTGCTCAATCCAATAACAAAACCCATTGCACGTTCCGTATTTGTCAAACGCTGTCCAAAACGAGCTGTACAAACAATCATGGCACAGTTGTATCCTACGATGGCAGACAAAAATCCGTGCATACAACCGTCATCTACATCGAATGAAACAATCACGCGATTAAAGAAATATATACTGCTGTCGATGATACTTCTCGTCGTCAACTGGATACAGACTCAGCTTTTCGCCATTAGTTCTACTTTCTTTGTCGCAGCAACTATGTTCGCCATTATCTGGACAAAAATAATATGAACGTTTTTCTATTATAATAATGATTGTCAGAGTTTCGTAGAACGCAAAGAATAAAGATGCTGCAGGAACGAGGGCGAGATCAATCTATTTGAGGAGCTGGAAGAGCATATATAATGCGGAAATGTCATATACGTCTGTTCTCATGTATTGGAGCTAAGAGAGGGTGTGGGTGTGGATGTGACTGTGGACTATTTAATCAGTAGCAATGCTCACATTCAAACCCATCTACACCCTCACGCACATACACATCCATCCCTTCGCCCCATAAGAAATTCAATTCAATTTCAGAGAAAAACAGTCCAGTCGGCACGTATGAGTTTGCGTATTATTTCGAGATGACTTGCACCTAGAAAAAAAACATTCTCAATTCAGCCTGAGCTGCGACTTGCAAGTTTTATTTTTCTGTAGAACAGAACGCAAAAAAAATCTGGAGTGTTATTAAAAAAACGTCACTTTTTACAGTCAACAGTAACAAACAGAATTGGTGTGATTCAGACGAGAGGAAAAAGAAATAATAAGAAAAACTTTAATGGATACAATCAACGTGTTTAAGAAAAAACAACGTTTATTTGAAGACGTAAAGTGAAAAAAAAACATGACAAACACGGTGCAAAAGCTACCGACAAGAATCATACATGCAATCACGGCAGAAAATTTATCCTCAGACAATGTTATATATTATGACGAACGTCAAGGTTGGGTATATAAAAGATTAAGTGATGACCTTAACAACACTTCACGACAAAATCTTAGCGAAGTTCAATCATCAAGTCTTGTTCAAAATGCACGTCCACTAGAATCACTCGGCCCTTTCGGTAATCTGCAAATCAAGTGTGCTATTTTACTTTCATCTATGGATTTTTTTGTTGATTTTATTTAGGTACTCAACCAACTGATGTCTCTGTAATTATTGAACCAGGTGAAGTTATTTATAGAACAAAATCATTCAATATGATATTGAGCGATCTTACTCAATATACTGTTGTCGAATGTTTAGGACAACATGCGCCGTTAGCGCCAATAACTTTGCATGGTACAGCTCGTAGCGTTTCCTATATCCCACATGATGCAACACATTTCTGTTGGGTTTATCCACCGATTGAACTAAGTGAATTATGTGAGAAAATAAAACAAACTATTGATAAAAAAGTAGCAATGGGTGATTTATCATGTACTTTCCTTGCTTTCGGTGGTTTTGTTTATTTTCGAATTAATGAATATAATAACTATATAATGTTACAAGCTAATGCGCTTGTGAAAGCTGATAATGGCCTCGTATTTCATGGACCTCATGACTGGCAATCTGCTTATACAGCTTGTCTAGCTAAAAACGGTCGATTTCAGGTACGTTCAAATGCCTTAAAAATGATTAGTAAATTTATTTATTTTCTATTTGTAGGATGTTACTGTTTCGTCACTCATAGATTTGGGTATCAAATATTATTGTTTTATTAATCCAAACGAAAAGCTTTGTAGTTCTATTGAGGGTCAATCAGATTGGGCTCCTGCTAGAAATGGTGGTTTCGTCTATTTGTATGGATCTCCTGGAACTCCTCATCCTCTTGATCGCTATTTTTCCATCGCGGATGCACCCATCACTGAGCAAATCAGTACACAAGTTATGCCATTCTCATTAATTCGCAATCCACATATCACCGTTGAAGGATCAAGTTCATCCTTACCACCGCCATCTTCAAATATTGACAAAGACAGATTTAATTGTTCAATTTGCCTCGATCAAACAATTCAATGTATTTTAATTCCATGTAAACATATGTGTGCATGTGCTGAATGTGCTCAAATGATCAAAAAGAAACAAAACTCTCTGTGCCCAATATGTAGAGAAACGTTTATCGAAGTGTGGAACGTTTTTTTATAAGAGAAAATCTCTTTTTGAAGGGTATGATTGGATGTGAATGTGATATCAGAGGAAACGCGTACATATTCACACTCACATCCTATATATAGCTGCTGCGTTTTCACAGCGAGGAGGAAGAAATATATATAGAGATAAAGATCTCGCAGTTATTCTCTTTATTTTATCTTTTAACATCACTGAAATAAATCTTGATTCATTCGATGCTTTGACTTTTTAATAATTATTTTTGATAGTTTGCTCTTTTGTAGTTTCATTTACTGACATTTTACAACTTCACTAAAGTATTTGTTTATAACAAATAGACACATTTATGCCATTTAAAGTTCTATCAATCTTATCTTCATCGATATTTTGATCTATACACGAAATAAATGCATCAGCAAGAATTAATAAAAACTAAATATTTGTGTTTTTATTTGTATTCCAGTATGATACATTCATTCTTGTTTCTCCTGTTTATATTAATTGGCTCAGCTAATGGTGGATTAGAATCGAATATCATATGTCAATTTTCTGAACAAAATCAGACTGTATTTTGGACCGGAAACTTCGTTCTGGGTAACATCGAATTTAATCATTCCCGTAATGAAAAAATGAAATTGAAACGTATCGATGTTGAATTAATTGGTAGACTTGCTTACAAAAATATATTCGCTGATAATACTTACAAATCAACGAGAAACACTCGTCACATGATATTCTTCAGCCAACGGCTCAATCTAAATTTCTCTAATGCAAAAAGTGATTTTCTCTTACCACGTGGCAATTATAAGTGGCCATTTCGTTTCTTTCTTAACGATTCTTTACCACCAACACTCAAAAAGAGACAATATTTAGATTCATTTATTTATTATTTCATTCAGATCACATTTGTCAGACGCGAATGGTATAAACGAAACATCAAGAAAATTATACCTATCGTTGTTAAATATATGTCGTCACCTGTAGATGAAATGAAAGTTGAAGCACAAGAAAAGAATCAAAAAGATGTTCATCTTCATGTGATTTTACATAAATCAACCATCGCTGTTGGAAACAACGTTTCGTTTGATATAGAAATACAAAATCCTAAAGAAGTCTTAATAAATCGAATATCGGTGACTCTCGCTCAACATTTAAAACTTGGTCCTGCTGTACACAGAAGGGTCGATATCCTTAATGAAACTCTTAAAACTATCAATCACTTTCAAAACTCACATCTTCATAAAAACTTTCACTTTTTTATTCCCCGTACAATTCCGCCGACGTTTTCATTTCATTATCCTATGAAGAGCAAAGAACAACCAATCATAGTAAACTATGAACTACATTTCGAAGCTCATCTTAGTGGATTTTCTACTAACATTCGATTAAAACTTCCATTGGTTATAACCGACCATCCACAAAATAACTGAGCCTATTTAGTTACCATATATAAACTATAGTTCCTGTCTTTTTCTTTAGCTAGATAAATAATTCTTGAAAGTCTATTTAATAAATTCTCTTCTACATTTTTTCATAAAACACACTAATACTGTCTGCTTGTTTCTTTTTAAAAAACAATCAAAAAGAAACCGTCTCTGATAAGCTTATAAATAATCATATTATCGTCTGTATTCATTTACATGTGTTTGGATATATTGAGACAATAAAAGTTATGTCGTGTCTAATTGGACTTTGAATAGAATAGGTGTTGGCGTGAGTGTCGAGGTTATATAAGAACCACACCCACCCACATCCTAGTGACATTTAATTGATTATCAACAAATATAAAATATATTTGTTTTTATAAAAGTTATTTTAATTAAGTCCTAACAATTAATTGATTGAAAACGATAAAATATACGTCTAAGAACATAAAATACCAACAAGTGATTATATATTGAGTTATCACTAGAAAATAATCAATATGTTCGATAAAGAGAATTTAACCATATATCATCCATGTCTTCATCGTCAATGCACTGATATGCGACTAAAGAGTAAGTAAAGTTACATACATACATCCACTCTCTAGTACGACTACACTTAGTCAACATCATAATAAACTAATCACTCATGGATTTTCATGAGCGAGTTTTGCACATTTTTGTCATGATTATCCTTTGATTCTGAATGTAGATTGACACATATTTTTAGCTCCGTTGGTATGTATTACGCTCATATCCATCCTTGGAAATCGATAAAGCGATAAAATGACATTCAACGAAAAAACTGATCTTGCAGTCTCTTTAACTTCAGCAAGATATATTTAAAAAACGTCAAGATTAGATAATACACGTAGAAAGATGTTCTCTATCGAATAAATTATACACTTGGAAAAGATGCGGACATAAGAACGGTTAGTTAATGTTATTTGATCTCTTCTGCTCGTTCGATATAACTCTCGATTTTTGATCGTAACATTTGTTTCATTTCAGGATTATCTGCAACGTCTAAATACATTCATATTTAGATACCTCTCTCCCAAAAAAAAGGTAGTTAAAATACTGACATTTTACTGCATGCATGAGCCATTCAGCTGCTGTCATATAATATTGTGCAGCAGCTTTATAATTGTGAGCTTCATCTTCTTTTACGGCCTGTTCAGCACATCGAATACCTTTCTAAGAGAAGAAGAAGCAATAAAGTATTCGAATCCAAATGTTGCCGGAATAGAATACTGTACCCGAAGATAATCATGGCAAATATTTGAAGTACCGGTTATCATTGCTGAATCATCATTTTCTCTAGCCACAGTACGTACGTTGTGGATATCAGTAGGATCAAGAGAAGTACTTTGCGATCCTGTAATGAGAGAGAGATTCAATGAGTATTCGTGTCGGAGTCGATGCTAATAGAAATCTTTTGGTTTTCTAGAGCGCAATTTCTTCTATTGTATGAATACCTGTTCTATTGGACTTTTGAACTAAAAAGTTCTCATTGAGATCTGCAAAACTTATCACTTAACTGTCTGAAACGGGTTAAGCGCAAAGAAAACTGAAGTAGATGACATCTATTCATGAACAACAATCAAAAAATAACTGCTTTAGTGATAACAGGTTTTCTTGTTGATTTTGCTCATCAAAGATAGTTTAATTTAACTGCTGTATTGAATGACGAACTTCGTCACTTTGGAATGTCTTCAGTCGTCATATATCAGTTTAGATTAAAAAACCTGATATTATCCGCCAGTTTAAATTGAAAAGAAACTTGTTTGATAAATTCAAGTCTTTAACAAATGTTTCTGGTGTTGGCTTCATATCGTTTCTAGCAGATGGCTGACAGCGTGCCCCACTCAATAGATGAACATATAGAGTTATCTGTTACGATCTCTTGTTTTAGCAGTGCTAAGAAATTCAGTCAGGAGGTAACAGTTTATCGATCTTCTCAACGAAGTCTTTTGATGTTAAGCTTTCGATATCAGCTCAAAGTATCGCATTAGATAGATATCGTTCACAAACGAACATATTTAAGCATCATTCTCCTATCATTCGAATCATCACCTTCATTGTCGCTCGTATTGTTAAGGTAATAGACACAAACAGCGCTAGTCTTGCTTTTGGTTCCAATATCCTTTAAAATTTGCTCGATCTCTTCTGCTCGTTTGATATAACTCTCGATTTTTGATCTTAAGTCGTGTTTCATTTGAGGATTATTTGTAATATCTAAACACATTCAAATTTAGATATCTTTCTCAAAAACCCACAGTTAAAATACTGACATTTCACTGCATGCATGAGTGAATCAGCGGCACTCATATAATATTGTGCAGCAACTTTATAATTGTGAGCTGTATCGTCTTGTACAGCCTGCTCAGCATATCGAATGCCTTGCTAAGAGAAGAAGAAGCAATAAAGTATTTGAATATATATTGCTGGAATAGGATACTGTACCTGAAGATAATCATACTTAGAATTTGAACTGCCAGCTGTTATTGATGAATCATCATTTCCTCCAGTCACATTAGTTGTGTTTTGTGATCCTACAATTAAAGAAAAACTCAATGTATGTTCAAGTTGAAATTGTTTTTGAGAATACGCTCCTTTTTTCTCCTTTTCAACTTTCTGCAGTAGATGAGCATATTTTTAGAATAAAAAATTTCTCTTTCAATGTCCAAAAATACAATAATATCTCATAGAGCGAACAGAGGCTTTATTTTTCCCTGACTTGAATGAGTAGAAAATCAACGAAAAAATGACTCTGAGAAATTTTCAGTTATATCTATTTTGTCTCATGGTTAATAAGATCAATGCATCTCATATACGAAATTTAGCAAAGCGTCATTCATTAATTAATCGATTCACTTACTTAGATGTTCAATGATGTCACGCACAGCTCTGTTCAAAGGTAGTGAGTCAATTTGTTCTTTTCGAATTATAGTTCCATCACGTAGTGGACACTCGAATTGATTATTGTTGCTAGAGGCTATTTGTTGAATACATTCAAAACAATAAGTATGCGAGCATGGCAATATGCGTGGATCGTTGAAAGCTTCAAGACAAATCGAACAACTAATTACATGTTCGATGGAGTTTACATTATTCGAAGCCATATGAACGAATCGACAACGTATAAAGTTGATGATAATAAATCTAGAAAATAATAATACTTTGACATAATGGTATGAAGGACATAGCTTGAGCACGAGGTAAAATGAACTATTTGATATATTGATACAGAAAAAATTAAGTGTAGAATGTACAAACAAGATGCTATTGAAGGTATGAGTATGACTAAAGAAAAGACACCCACATCCTCACCCAAGATCTTGCAGTGTTGTAACCGATGGAATTAGCTGAAATACGTTTTGTTCATGGTCAGATTATATTATCTTCAGCATGTCTTGATAGTCACCAAAATCTTTTCATTCAAATATCTGAAATTTATTTTCAAGTTTACCAAAACCGAAGAGGCTATTTACTAATATAACAGTAAAGGAATATTGTTCTTATCATAATAACTGTTTGAAACAAAATCAGATAGAATCTCTGGCATTCATAAAGATAATACGAGTGACAGTTTTCCTTATCTAAGATGCAGCATAAGCTGATATCTTTGAACTGTTTGTTTATTAAATGTTGTGGATAGACTCGTTATTTGAATTAATTTTGCTTATTATTTCTAGTATATGGAACTTCTATTGTCAATCGAAATATAAGAATTATGATTTTATCTTAGATGACACAAAAACAAACAAAAAGACAAATCCATATCATTAATTATACGATGAAACATATCGTAAATGATGTTGTTAATCGTTCTTTTGTTCATCACCTGTGTCTTCTTCTTCTTCTAGAGAATATTCATAAATGAATCAATTAGTTTCAAATACGTTTCTATTGCGGAAAACTTACCATCAACGGATGCATCCCAATTTTCTATATACTGAGAAATCAAATCATTCATGGCCGATTCGGCTTCGATAAATTCCTATTCGAAATGAAATAAGAAACTCGAAAAATTTTATACAAAGGAGTTGAATAATGTACCATTTCATCCATACCTCCTTCATATGGATAGTAGTGGAGAAATGCCCTTCGACGAAACATAGCAGTGAATTGTTCACTTATGCGTTTAAATACTTCTTTTATAGCAGTATTATTACCTACAGATATATTTCAATGAATTGTATCATTCTTGTTACAATAACTTACCGATAAAATTAGCTGATATCTTCAAACCACGAAGTGGGATATCGCATATAGATGTCATAACGTTATTTGGAATCCAATCGGAAAAGTACGAACAGTTCTTGTTCTGAATATTAAGCATTTGTTCATCAACTTCTTTCGTTGAAACCCGACCACGGAAGATGACTGCAGCACTTAGATATCGACCTTGTCGAGGATCACAAGCAACCATCATATTCTTAGCGTCAAAAATTTGTTGAGTGAGTTCAGGTATTGTTAAGGCACGATATTGTTGTGAAGCACGAGAAGTCAATGGAGCAAAGCCAGGCATGAGAAAGTGTAAACTTGGAAATGGCACTAAGTTTACAGACAATTTGCGGAGATCAGCATTGAGTTGACCTATAGAACAAAAATAAAATTTGAAAATTATTATTTAACATAGTTTCATTCTATTTACCAGGAAATCGAAAACAAGTGGTGATGCCTGACATAGTTGTCGAAACGAGATGGTTCAAATCATCATAGATTGGCGTAGTTAGTTTCAAAGTACGAAAGCAAATATCATACAAAGCTTCATTATCGATACAATGAGTTTGCTCCGTATTCTCACTCAAGTATCGGAAAGATAACATGGCATTGTATGGTTCGACCACGGCGTCTGAGACTTTAGGCGACGGAATAACGCTGAAAGTACTTATAATACCTAAAGAAATTTTATGATAATGAAACTTGTTTTCGAATTCATTACATACGATCCGGATATTCTTCGCAAATTTTCGAAATAAGCAATGTGCCCATACCTCCTCCGGTTCCACCGCCTAGTGAATGTGTTAACTGAAAGCCTTGAAGACAATCACATGATTCAGTTTCTTTACGGACAACATTCAACACTGAATCAATAAGTTTAGCACCTTCAATATAATGCCCTATAGCCCAGCAATTACCAGCTCCTAATTGACCTGAAAAATAAATAATATCGATTTGCTACTGATCAACTAATTATCTAACCAAATACAAAATTATCAGATCGAAAGAGTTGACCATAGGAACCGGCACGCACTGAATCCATAGTACCTGGTTCTAAATCGATGAGAACAGCACGGGGTACATATTTGCCACCTACATCGTCAAAAATGTGTTTCTACATATTATCATTTTTCTACTATCTACCAGCAACTTCATTATAATATACATTGATACGTTCAAGTTGGAGATCAGAATCACCATGATAAATTCCAGTAGGATCGATACCATGCTCATCCGAAATAACTTCCCAAAACTAAAAACACAATCTATTACTTAAAATCTAAAATACCTTAACATTTTTATACACACTTTTGTACCAATTTGGTTGCCACATTGACCAACTTGCACTAAAAATGATTGCACATATGAATGTATCTTATAATAAAAACTCACTATGAACAATTTCACGCATGTTAAATGTTTGTCGTTGTTATGTCAAACGTTTAAACTGCTTCCTATCGAAATAATGATGTCTTTAATATTGACGAAATTTGATCAAGAGAAGTAAGCAGTCATCATTAAATACACAAAACACAGAAATACAAAAAGCCACGTGCTCACTTATTCACATTTTGTAACTCGTACATGCATGTTCTCTTTCTCTAAGTAATTCTTACTGACTGTCAATAAAAATCACCTCTCCATAGAAGCATACATATAAATGAGAACAATATTTACAAATAGGGTGAATGCGAATGTCGTTGGTTGATGGTATTCTAACTCATCCACATTTGTTTGTGATTTAGATGGGTCCGCTAAAATAGAAAATAAATTTAATCCTGTAATAACTCAAATAAATAATTCAATACTAACGTGTATTTGCTACTTGGCTCATTTGTTCATAATTTCGTATAAATCTATTTAATAATGAAATAATGGTATTTCTTTTCCATCTAAAACCATAATTACACCGCGCACAATGCATGCTCAGGCGACCACCATTTTTTTTAATTAATGACTTGTTCACTCTTTCGGTTTTAGCAATTGTCGCTAGAAGTTGTTCGTCATGTTGTTGTTATTGTTGACTTCTGGAGACAATAATTCTATGCCCGACATATGCTCTCTATAAATGAGATCATTTCATATGAATACAAGAATGAGTATAGATACTGCTTCTTCGCTAAAGTTATTGTGTGGATATTATTTATAATAGTAGAATAAAGCAAGCTAAAGATAGGATACGATGAGCGATTCATCGATGTTTCTACAGATAAAATAATAACCCTACTCATACTAGTATCTGAAAGTTTCTTTGAGATATTTCATATTGGCATATGAAGGTTGACGGAGATTTATGAGTTCTATATACTAGCTTCTAAATAAATCAAATTTACATGTTGTATCATATTATCTTTTGGATATATTGTTTGTGAATGAAGTATTTTTTCAACATTCTCATTAGAATATCCATTTAATGCTCGTGAATCATTGTCGTCTTCATTGTTTTGAAATTCAAGTAAATTAATCCAATCATAAACACATACCTCTCCTTAAAGAAATTCGTAACTATCCAATTTCAAATACGAAAAACATGAAAGAATAAATGATGAAAATTCTTATCGAATATGGATTGTAATGCAAAGATTTTATCGGATTGTTTCTCGATATTCGTCATTAATATACTGGTGTAGTAGAAAAAAAATGACTTCACGTAAGTACAATCAAGATATGACTGTGTACGAATTAGGTAAACAGTCAATAGACGCAGAATAGGAAAGAAAAATTGTTGTTTTTGTTGACAAAAATACACGTGTAACATTTAACTTTGACACTATTTTGATTTAAAATTGATGAATGACTGATTCGAATGGGACATAAGCTTTGTCTTTTTGACGAGATAGAGGCAGGATTTTTTTTTGCGTTCTGTTACATATCTTTCACTAGTTGAATACGCTACAGAGAGTATGATTTTCTGTTCTGTGTTAATTTGCTGCTGACAATGACGACAATATGTAAAATATTCTTTTCCTCTATGTAAAAACCTCTCATTTTTGATACTACTCAATAATATTATACGTAAAAATTAGAAAATATCATTTTTATAAAATAATACTTTAACAAAATATAAACCGATTAAAAGACGCAACTAATCCTATTCTAGAAAATGCTTTACTTGATTCAGTTTTCCGCCTATGTAATTATTTCTATATAAAAAAAATCAAAATCAGCTTACATCTTAAAACTTATAATTAAACCTTCAGAAGGATTAGGAAGTCAATTATATTTTAATGAGTATTAATCATGTTTTTTTTTCAGACTATTTTTTCCTGTTTTCTGAAGAACGCAGTAGTCATTCATTCAGTGTCTCCTGTCAGAAGCGCATCTCACTAACATTTCAGTTCTATTTAATGGATTCATCTACTAGTCCCGATGTGAACATATTCAACAGTGTTCTTAGTTATGTGTACCAATTCGTTGGTATTCCATTTTATATATGTGGCAATCTTGGAATATTACTGAGTGCTCGTATATTTTGTCAGAAAACATGGCGCAAAAATGTTTGTGTTTTTTATTTTCTCATTATTCTTCTGACTAATTTCATCAATATTAACAATACTTTATTGGGTTATATTTTTATCTATGGTTTTAACAATCAAATACTGAATACTAATATGATCTTGTGTAAACTATTTCATTATGTATTATTTGTCTTTGATATATTAACACCAAGTATTCTTGTCCTTGCTTCAATTGATCGACGTTTAATTTCTTCGACAAATGTGGAAACACGTTTATATAGTTCAAGACGTTTGGCTTATTTTTCTCTTAGTATAAGTGCCATCATCTGGTCTATTTTTTTTCTACATACTGCCATTAAATTTAACATTTATCAAATCGCTCCATTTGTTTTTATTTGCATGAATGAACCTACTCAAATGTATACTGATTTTCTTAATTATTCTGAATTGGTTATTAATCTTGTCTTATATTTGCTAATGATCATTCTTTCTGTTTACTCATTTAAAAATGTTCATCAAATGAGATCGATTCCACGACAACAACGACAAGGTATTCGAACAATGCATAAAAAAGATTTTCAATTACTTCGTTGCTTATTCATGAAAAGTATTGTTCACATTTTTGGTGATAGTCTCATCGTCCCATATACAATCTATCAAGGAATACCTACATCTGAAATATCAACACCATGGGAGCTGGCACGTGGCAGATTTCTCTTTAACCTTGGTTTTTTTATTCATCTGCTACCTTGTTGTACCGACTTTTTTATCTATGCCGTTGTTTCGAAAGATTTTCGTCAAAAACCGAAACAAATTGTTTCGAATATTTTTGGTCAAAATCTTGTGATAGAACGAAATAACGACAAACAACAAGAATTAAGAGCTGAACCGCCGGAATTACGTATTGTCAGCACTATCGAACTAGCAACTTAAATATTAAACAAAGGAATTTATCACTCTTAGTATTTTTCATTGAAGTCTGTTTATTTATTTTCTGTTAGCAATTTATTCAAAATATATAACTAAAATTTTCGATGAAAATAGATTTTATTATCTATATGTTTAATTGTATAATTATAGTTTTCATAATCGATGGAATAAATAAGCACATTAAAATAAGATATTTGATGAATTTAGCATTGGTTTTGAAAATAAATTGAATTTGTTCAATTTGAGATACATATTCTAGATTAACTCGTGTAATATTTTTATTTTTTTGTGATAAACGTATAATACGTCGTTTTTCATTGATTAAATATTCTGTTTTAAGTAATGGTAAATGTGACATTCTTAAGAGCTTTAGATAGGATAACTGCTGTATCAGATTGATTAAGTTTGATATTGTAATCGTACTACAATCAACATCAAGATGAGTAATCTTGAATACAGTTAAAAATAGATTCATCTTATTGATCAATATTTTATTTATGCTTTCATGTAAATGATTTGTTACTGAGAGTGGAATTGGTGAATTAATATTTTCTATTATATTTTGATGATACAGTTTATGTTCTTCAAATTCAAACCTTTTTTTTTCTATGTAAGGTCTTTGTGCATATCTATATGGTTGAATTGAATAGATTATATCGAAATTATCAATACTGACATCAAATATCCATTGTCGTTCGATCCAAAATGAACATAGAAATTGATTACTTAATCGATGATAGGGAGTTAATTTATAATTATCATCAAAATAATCATGATATTCAAAATAAAACTTGCGTAAATTTAACATATTTTGTAAAATTAATCGTTTCCATCGATTAGCATCAAGATATGATGGATCATTAAATGTTACGATCTTCAATATTAGTAATTGAGATGATATTTTTTGAATAAATATTTCAAAATCATCTTGAGGGTGTGGGTGTCTATCTACTCTCATGGGATACCTAAACCCTCACCCACACTGACACCCTCAATATTCCTGATCAGTTCCGACAGTAGACACGTTGGGTTACTTCCGTCATTCTTCCTTAAGTTCTTCGCTCCCAAAGACACCGATGACTTACAGATGCAGCTCTTCGAATTGGACAATAGAAATCTTGCGATCATCACTCATTCAGAAATGCATCTAAACGGTAGCAGCTAACTTAGACAAGTTAGAGTATTTAGCTAGATCATTACGTACTCCAGAGTCACCACTAAGTGCAACAAAGAAACCAAATGAATAGGAAAACTCTAATGTTCCACAGAGCTCTGTGGTATATGTCTGATTTATTTCATTGTTCGCCAGCATCAATTTGCCAGATTCCGATTTCCTTCTCTACATTGTTTGTACGACACATTTGATTTGAGTAAAAAAAGATAATTTCATAAAGAATGATAGGAACATTTCCTACGAAAATTATCTTCATATATTATGCAAGAGCTTGAAATATACTTAAGACAAATAAAAGTATAAAGAAGAGAATGAATGAATAGTCAAACAAACAAACAAAATTTCGAGTTCTAAATATAATTATTTGACAATAAACTATTGTGGTGTCAGTTTGAAAACTTCGATTTCATTTGTTTGAAAAGCTCGGGCACCAGTAAATGTATTCTGACCAAGGCTAAGTGTGTTCGGATAACTATTGCCAAGATTACAGTAGCTATTAGTATTTGTGTTACTGCCGCTGCTAATATGCAAGTCATGGCCCCCACCAAATGTTGGCCCGTAACCATCCTTTCCATACAAACCGTTTACATTACTATTGTAAAGAAATTTCGTGGGTTGGCTTCCATTCGCATTCGTTAATAGGAAGAGAAAGGAATTTAAAGCATTCGTATACCCATTTGTTGAAGTCCAACTTTGTGAAGCATAACCGCCAAATAAATAACCACCTGTTGATCTCACGACAGTGATTGTTGGTCCTTGATTATCGCACAGACGATGAAATGCATTCGCGTCAAATCCGTCTCTGGTTCCTTTGTAAATAAGCTGCCATCGTTGATCATTTGTATCGTAAAATTCATTTAGTTTTTGTTGTTGTTCAATGTTTAAAAGAGTTGTATTCTCAAATTTCACTTTTTGTCTCTCTTCTTCTGCCCTCCTTGCGGGTTCCGTCAAAATTTCAACTAGATTATTCAATTTATAAAATCTTGCTTCATTTATCAGGCGTTGTCGCAAACGTTCGTCAACCAAAACAAATTCAGTTGGATTTCGCATATATTCCAAAACTTCAGCAAATAAATCACCACTTCTATCAATAAAGATACGCCCTCTTTCGTCTTTTTCTAGTTCCCATTGACAAGAGAAAAGTGCCGTAAAAAATGTATCCTTTTCGTTGGTCAATGTATCAACTGTTGTTGAAAATTCACGTCCTCCAACATCCAGTAGAACCTTTCCACGCACGATTGTTTTTGATAGATTACTTTTCAATTGTTTCCACTCATTTAAATCATTTGCAACCGACGCAACACTTTCATCAATATGGTTTTTGATCGATGTTACTAGACGATTCAGTTCTTCACATTCTCGAACTAATACATCAGCTTTTTCGAGCGAACTTGCCATTTGTACTGTGAGACAATGAAAGTTATTTTACAAAAAAAGTTTTCTTTTTCATATAAGGAGTGTATAAACTTACCTCGTGAAGACTATATTCTTTTTCTAACTATGTCAGTTACAAATGAGACGTACAGAGCTAAAAGAAATGTTAAAAAAATAGTAAGATTGGGATTTATTTACATCGTCAAAACGATAAAAACATGTGAGAATAGGTGGTCACAAGAGAATGAAAAAAGGAAAGAACAGAAAAAACCTTCATGGGGCTCTTTTCACGTTGTATTTTATTTGAGTGAAGAACAAAAACGTAAAAGAGAAAGGAAAGGAAGCGACAAACTAGATATGATGTGAAAAAACGTGTGAAGAAAATGAAGACATGATTGTAGAAGAAGTATGAGCAACTTCAAAAGCTACTACAATCAATCCTCTTGAGGGTGTGGGTGATCTACTTATTATCATACACTCGTTATCTTCGAATATAGATTGAGGCTGTGAATGTGAATAATGATCTCTTTTTACACTCATCTCTTTATCTAGAATGATCCACTGTATTTGGTTTTATTTTATTTCTTAAATATGTGTGTCTGTATTGTATATAATATCTCAATGTTCATCTTTTTGGAATCTTGGTCCAAAAAAATCATCATACGAAGATGGAATTTCTGTAAGCCGAGTAATCCATACACATATAAAAGGGACTTCACTACGAGCGTTAGCTCCAAATTGATAGTAATCACATTGACGTAATTCGTCGGGTGTTTGAGTTAGCTTGAAGAGGCGATCCAAATTATCTCGACCTGATTCGTTCACATCAGCTTTTCTGAAAACCGTATCGAATAGATCAGGATGAATCTGATCGCACACTGCTCGTAGTTCTTCGACACATTGCCCAATATCTTTGTCTTCCATATTAATAGCAAGAAGTCGATTTACATTGGTCGGAATAGTATATTTACGGTGATCGTCGATAGACCCATCGGTATCAAATGAAAATCCAAAGAAGATCCGTTGAAGAGCATTTTTAACGCGTTGTACGGTCAGAGGAGGGTTGAATTCTAATACAAGCTCATTCATACGATAGAACGTTTTTAAGTTACCTAGAAGAAAAAAAACTATTATCAAAACAATCAGATGAGATATGTCTATGAGCTTGTTCTGAATCCTTTCATCGAGTATATCGAGAGAGAGATCTCATAAAGCATATATTCTTCCATTTCGGATCCTTGTTTTTCATTCAAGATTATTGCTTCATAAAATATTTACTCACCAATTTCATCGACAATAATAGGCCATTTTGTCAAATCACGTAATTTCGCCATCTCACTGGGTATAACTTCCTTCATTTGAGCATATTTAATGATTTTCTTTTCTGGTTTATCCGTAGCTGGAGCTGACGCTACGTCAGTTGTCTTCGTCGCAATGACTTTTGATGACGACGTCACCGGTTTTGAGTTGGATTTATTGGCTGATGAAGAACTTTGAGTAGTTGAGGTAACTTTTTTTGCAGGCATTTTACTCATTTTGATCGAGTAGATATAATAGAAAATAATAAAAATTATTTTATTTATATATATATAAATAAAAAGTGATTGCATCATTGTTTCGACATGCAAGAATGATTCACTTTCAACAAATTGAAAGTTTTCAAAATCATTCATTGTTATTCATGCAGAAAATACAACAGAACTGAAAAAATTATTTATAAAACAACTCACCACTGAATCTTACTTTTTCAATGTTGAATGTACATGCGCACTGTCTGTCTGATTTACATTATTAATCATTAGTCTATTTTTATACTGATCAAAATATTAGATATTAAGACTATTAAAATTAGAATACAGCATTTTGCTATGCTTGTTTCAGAATTTAACACACTTTCATACAAATATCACATTGATGTGATGTATTGTAAAGAACAGCACTTCTAATATTTCTTTCAACATTTCATGCCACTTTGTTGCTTTTTTTATTCTTCGATATTTGTGCACAAAAAAATGCGCCGTTTTTTTAATTGCATAGTTAAACAACCTTTTATAGTGAATTGGTTTGATGCAGCATGTATGCAGCTCGACACATAGTTGCAAAAAATTTAAGTAACATGCTATGCGTCAATGTAACTATGGATGGAGATTAGTTCCGAATAACAACTATTATTGACAACAGGGTGAAGATGAATACAGTATTCATACTCACACCACTCTCAAGAAAAAAAATAGAAATATGAGAATTAATTAATTAATTTATTTAATGAATAGCTAGATATTTTCTTCAGATTCCATCTGTGAATTGCGTGGTTCAATATTGTTGTCAGGTTCAATTCGATTATTTATGGAACAACACCAATGCTTCCATCGTTGCCAACATTTTTTTACTAGAACAAATTTTACTTGACGACGAAAACGTGATGAAAATATTATGAAGATATAAAAGTTGATCTAAAATAAAGCAAAATCTTATAAATATGAATTAGCAAAGAAAATAATAATTTTACCATATAATTTATAATAAAGATAGAAGTAAAAATTGCTTGAATCAATCGACCAATTGCATATGCCATAGGCATACTTCGTGATATTGGAAAATTAATGGCATAGATGCTATAAGTAATATAAGGTAATACCAAACAAATAAAGGCTATTACACGCATAAGAACCATCGTTGTTATTTGTTTGTCTAGTTTACGACGAACAATTGGTATTTGTCGTCGGACTATATGACGAACATTATGATAAGCTAAGATACTAAATGATGATGCACTTACAATAGGTAGAAAACCACCTAAAATTGGATAATAGAAAAATGTTGAATACCGAATCCATATACGATTCGATATGATACATCCCATTGTTGGTTGAATATTATACGAAGAGCCACGTGCAATGCTATGAATGATCGCAAAACAGATAAATATAAATGAAACATATCGACCTAATTTCAATGTACACATTTGTCTTAAATTGAAACGATGATTTGTCGAAAAGAATTGATCAATAGTAGTGAAACATATCATATAAAGAGTAGTGAGTGCACATGTTTGTCCCAATATAAATCTTAATTTACACCAAATGAAAGAACGTCCTGTTGCATCATCTCCATATATTGATGTTAAAATAGTTAAACTAATAGATAAAAACTGATAAAAGAAGTTTGAAATTGATTCAATAGTTATATAGAAGGCACATCGATTCGTTCGAAATAATTTCAATTGAGTAAAAACGAGAAGATTCAACGCATTACCAATAATTCCAAAACTAAATATAATAAAACCACTATAAAACGAATATTGTGTAGCAAACTTGAGAATTCCATCAGATACTGATGATGATGATGACATGATACTTTATTCAAAATGATATATAATTTATTATTTGTGTTTTTCTTCTTTTCCTAGAAAATATAAAATTTAATATAAAAAAGTGTGAATCTTTTTCTTGTCACTTATTATTTATGAAGCATCTTAGCAGAAATTACTGTCACGATTAATAATAAAAGTCTTTAATTACTAGTATGACGATGCTTCTTTTTTCAGACAATTATTTTACTAAGATTTTAAAAGTTTTCTTCTCTCTTAACTCGATTTAATTCTGTAATGGCATAATAGATATATCAAAAAGTATGGACATATATATTAAAAAGGTTTTCAAATGTAGTTAAAAAAATTAAAAAAAACAGACTTGTATATGTCGTAGTTCAGTTTAGAATTTAGTTCAGATTGTAATTCTCTATTATAGCGTGAATGTTGTGGTAAAATAATTTACATGAATAAGTTGTTTTTTTGTTTTTAAGGATATGAGATTAATTGCTTGAGTATGTAATTTGAAAGACTTCAATCTTTTTTTATCTTGCTTCGGAAAAGAAAATTTGCAACAGATGTTTATTTCTTAATGCTTAGACAATTGTTTGATTTTAGAAGTATCGATGAACAGAAAGCATTTTTTCCTTTGAAAGAAATATTGTTGAGGTTTTTTCATTTCATTATATTATTTTTTGTTTATTATCTTGATTTTATATATATATATAGTTAGATTAAATGGATGAGAAGGTATTTATATAATTATATATACGAATACGCTGTATAAGAACAGGATACGTTAACTAGTGTTCCTTCTTATCATTATCATCATTTCAATATGTCATATCATCAAAAAAAAGGATCGCACAAGAGACGATATATACGAATAGAAAAGAAATTGTTTATTGTTTATTTTCTCTTTATTTTTTTAATATGAAGATTTTGTTTATCTCTATTCTTTAATTAAAGAAGAGTGTGGCTATGGGTCTGGAATGGTTCAAGGTATAGGTGAGTTTATAGTAAAAGTTACATGAACACCCACACTCTTATTATTTAAAAAAAATTCTATTTGATATTATCATTAGATAGTTCAATATGTATTCTGCTATTAGACACGTAAAATCAAGTCCTCAGTCGCTGTTGTTGTAGTAGTTAATTGCGATTGTTTATCGACAGATTGTAAATGAGTAATTGCAATGTCGTAAGATGGAAGTAAAACTTGTGGAAGATGATTATCAATAGCAATATTGTATGAAGGTGGAAGTGCTTCGAATAGAATAGAAATTGTTGATACCGATAGTTCCTTATCATTTTGTGTAGAAACATTCAGTTTTGATTGTCCTTTCGTGTGTTGTTGATTATTTCTAAAAATGTTAGAAACGCCTCGAAAACATCTCCAGCATGTATAACCGATTAAAAATAACAAATGAATGTAAAGATAACACGCTGCGACAATATACAAAAATATTTCTAAACCGCGTGGGAGTATAGATTTTTCAGTTACTGGTTTAATGGGAAAATATGGTTTGGTAAAATGAAATATCATTGTAGGAATGGTTGGTATAGGTCGATAATCACAGACATTCACCTTAGCTCCACATTCGACATATGATATTGCTGTCAATAAATACGAAATAAATCATCTGAATCTTTTAGAAATTTTCCCTTACCAAGACAACACCAAACCGATGTTCCAAGAGAACAAGTCTTTTGATCTTAAAAAAATATTTGTTGATAACAAATTGTTGTGATCTTATTTAATAATATACATACCGGAAAATGACGAACAGTTTTTACTATTAACAATCATACATTTGAAAATCAATAGAACGAGAATAGAATAAATATTATCAATCGAGTGATTAAACATTGTATTTGAAATATATGATGTTTCTTCCTTCTATTATCTGAAACAAAACTTGTTTTATGACAATTTCAGTTTCAATGTGGATACACTCACAATTTTTCACAATACCTACCTGATAGACATTCAAATGAAATCTGAAAGGAGTTTTTATTGTCATTCAAGGTAATAAATTGTTTTTATCAGTATATATTTTAAAAACGATTTAGATGAAAACACTAATAAATCATTCATGATACGGTATTTTTTTTGTCTGAATAATAATAAAGAATAAAATACTATAAAGAAATACTTCTTTATCGTGAAGATCATTTACATCATACGATCAAGATACAGAGAAAAAGAAATGAAACACTTTTAAATACTTTTTTTAAACTAATCAGCATTATACTGGTCTCCAAATATATTAACAGATAGATGCATGACATTCAGTCACAATTAATCTCATCCATTAATACAGTGATATCTGATAAAGATAATATTTTTATAGTAATTAATTAAATATTTCTTATTCTTTTCTATTAGTATAAAGGCATATATGATTCTCTGATTGATATTGATGATGGTAGTGAGTATAGTACCATATTATTTTCAAAAAATCTTGAAGATGTGAGTGTGGATTCATCTTTTGATTATCCACACCCACACCATCTCATCACAACTTTTCAAAATGATCATTTTTGAAAACTACCTCAGACACTAATTTTGAAATGCTCAGCAGGTTTGAATATTATTTCATCGTTAGTCCGACATTTTGGCGAATTATTTTCAGTTTATGAATTATATTTTTATGGGTGAAAACTACAATAACATCAAATTTTATTAAATAACAAGCTGAAAAATTGATATGAGAACTGTTTCAGAAACAACACTTTCGAAACTTGTGAGATTTTGTGTGCCCCCAAGTGTTCTTCATTTTTCAACAGGTTAGAAATAATAGCACGATAAATTCATCAAATTTGTCAGTCATTATTCGATAGTCAATGTCAAAGACAGACAATGTTCTGTTTGATCGACATTTCTCGATTAATTGTCATATCGAAGCGAATACTATATACCAATAAATTAGAAAAGTTCTGAAAAAATGAAGAAATATTGATTATTGATGAATGAGTCGTCGCCATCGTCTGAATGATTCTTGAAATGTTTTTCGGTACAATGCTGAAGGAAGGACAAAAACAAGAAAGATAAGCATCGATGGAGTAAATGAAACGAAATAACCAATAATAAATAACAATCGATGATTAGATGGATTGACACATTCTGATAACATTGACATTATCAGACGGGGTAAGGAAAGAATTAGAAGAATAATTGGACTAATTAATAGTTGTTTGTGCTCATTAAATTGATGATAAATATGTTCTCTTAGAGTTCGTCTTGTTTGAGCTGCCGATCGTTGTCGGGCTGATCCAAATATGATGAATAAAGCAGAACAAAGATTGATAATACATGGACCAACAAGATGAAAAAATAGGATGATTGTATTGTATTGTTGAACAGAAGAAGAATAACGAGTTATACACCATCTATCGATATCTACTTTGCTCGTCTCTGTATTTATCTCATGTAATTCTCGATATATAGGTTCATGAATGATTGAACCCATGATACAGAATGGTAAGATAAGAATTATCCATCGAGCAATCCACTGACTTTGTTGTTTATTGAAGTTAACTCCTCTGAATACGAGAATCGCTCTTTCAATAGCTACACAAGCATTGAGCCAAGCATCCAAATATAGACAAAGCTTGAGAAGTGGTTCGATCGATACACAACCTCCTCGAACAACAGAAAGACGAATCGATAGATCCATTTGAGTGAGAACAACAAACCAAAACTTCACTACAAACATGCTGATTGTAAGAAAAGAAGTGATTGATGATGCTAAGAGATAAATGCCACATCCAACTTGTCGTAGATCTTTATTTTGAAATGTTAATATAGACAAAATACTATTGATGAAACCTCCAACAAACATAATCATCATAAAAGCGGCATTGATTTTCACCAATATTGTTTGATCAGTCAATGTCATGTTCGGTTGAATTTCGTCACGCAAAATGTCATCGAGAATGATACCAATACTTTTTTTGTAGAACCGACATTTTTGGCCAATGAAACAACTGGTCATAACTTGAGCTAGAAAGAGAAATACATGATCATCAAGAGATGAGATCAATCTTTCTCAACTTAAAAAAGTCGTGTTGGGACAAATTTGTAAGTGTTATGATCTATGGTATACATAGGATCATCATATATATCTTCTTTTCGTTCTTTCCTTCTTCTTTCTATGATTCACCTTTTCTTCTATTTTTCGTATACATATATATATGTAGTTTATTGTTTACTTTTCTCGATTCAACAATAAACAACATATTCGATAGATAATCAGTACATCTGACAGTAAGCAACAATAGTCTATTGAAGTCATTTATCTATACATGCCATATCCTGTCCAGATTAGACTTATATATTTTTATTTTCTGTTCAATATCTCATGATGAATTCACTCATTTTTTGTAAAAATGTTTCTGCATATGAAGTCGATAAATTTTTAAAGACTGCAAGGTAATAAAGTCTCAGATAGTGTGAAAACACTAAAGAATAGATCTTCTCGGATATATCGTTGATGAGAAAAGAAAAGGTGTATTAATTTGCTCAACTGATTGAACTCATACAATCCATCTGATCACGACTAAGCTACAATACTAAGATTTAATCTTATCTGATTGGAAGAAAATTGCCCATTTTTAAAAGAAACAGTTTTAAACGTGATCCTATTTTTTTGTCAATAATTCTGTTAAATTATGCGATTTACTTGAAATTCTCAGATCTTTTATTATTCATGAGTGAAAATGAAGTTCAATGGGATGTTGTCTTTTTCTGTTAATGATTAACAAAATAATACAAAATACTTACTGTAATGATTAAGAGTGATATTATTTGGACCAGATGTCAGAATGGAAAAGTTTCCTGTCTTATTTGGAGAAGATGTTGTCACCACTAATATGTATGTAGTGTCAATGTGAAGATAAGCAATAAACTTGAAATCTGGATAAACACAGGTTTGATAATCTTGTGAGAGTAGATTCTCGAAAGGATTCATTGGATTAAAATCATCTTTGTAAATATCACCAAACGTATCCATACTGCTAGTACTACTCAGAGCAAAGTATCCAGTTTCCACTACTTGCATCCGTATAGTTTGATAGTAATAATTCGATTTTCGACAATCTCGAGAATATGTTTGACTATTCTTAGTCAATTCTGATGAATAATTCAATCGTACAGTTGATGAATATGGCATTTGGATGACTGATCGAGAACCTACGTGATGAAAACAAAAACAACAGTCAAGATTCGTGATAGATCTGGAGTGACTGGGAGAAAGACGAATCGTCTGGATGTAAGAGAGAAAACTGAGCATCATAAGCCATTTTTTATATACTCTGAATATTGAAAGGCATGTCGAAGCTAAGCCTAGCGTTTTGAAGAGACGACTCTCTATGATATCACTCTCTATGATATCACTCTCTATGAAATAATTAAACCGTAAATGAAGAGTGAGAACAGAATGTATAAACATTTTTCTATATCCGAACCCTCAATAACGTATGCCATGAATGAGTCTGGAACCACTTCTTTGTTTCGAAAACGGATAATGTCTCAACGTTCTAGATAAGAAAAATTGTTTATTTTAGTCTAACTTTGCAACTATTGTAATTATCTCAAAATTAAACTGTAAAGATGCATTTTAGATTCATAAAAAGTAAGAATATGTTTATATTTTGTGAAACACGATCTAAAAGGAGTGTTGAAGTGTTTAAGAGTAGAAAACTGACCACCCCGCACGCCCCCACAGACCGTGATCGGCAGGCCTACAAGGACATTAGGAACTTTGACAGATGTAACGGTGAAATAACATTAATTACAGTAGGTATGCTTCAACGTCATAAATATAAGCTATCTTTCCCATAAGCAACACCAGTTACATCGTGTTTCACATTTTTAATTCCGAAGGGATTGCGCTGAAAGCTTTTTTATCTACGATACAATATATTTAAATGTTTGCAGAACTTTTTTACTATAGGAACATTGAGTGATAGAACATGTTGTAAAAAGAAGCAAAGTTTTTTTAATTTGATGATCACAAGCAAGGACTCATGCTGATTTGTATATTATTCATATCAGATTAGCGATCGGTTGAAACGGGTCTGTATTCAAGGAGATTGATCTGATCCTATTCATAATATTCTGTTATTTTATGGATTTAATGTAGCTGTTTGTGTAAAGCTTTCTTCTTATAATATAAATGTCATCATATAAAACAAGTTTTTATTTGTGGATATGCGAAACTCAACTAAATACTCATGCTAACGTCGACAGATATTCATTTAATAGTTGTAGTGCAAATACTTACTTATGCTTTTGAGGTCGACCTTGTCTGGACCAGATACAAAGATCGAGAATGCGCCTAACGTATGATACTCATACGCTGTCACAACTAATATATATGTAATACTAGTCTCAAGAGCAATTGTGAAACTAAACTGACGTTGATTACAGCTGCCATCATTGAATACGAGTCGGTTCTCATCTGGATTGGATGGATTGAAATAAAATTTGTAAATAGAACCGGATGTGAGCATATTGCTTTTGCTGAAGAAAGTGTAAAGATCACTTTTAGTGATATTCACTTGTATCGCTTCGTAGTAAGAACTTAGCTCGGAACAACTACGTAAATATGTTGAACTGTTCGCTGTGAATGTTGATAGATAAACTGTTTGAACAAGCGATGAAGAAGTATTCACTAACGAAAAAGAAAATCGATTCAACTTTGTATAATATGGAAATAAGTGTAAACAATCTGAAATATTACTTTCTTTCTCGAATGCATTTACCGAAAACGACTGGAAGTGATATAAATCATAGTCTCTATCGAATAGAAATATCTGTATATTATTTTTTAGATTGAGTCTATCTATATTTTGTACTGATGATGAATAAGTGCAGTTGATTATCTATTAAAATACTATTAGAGGTCCTTGTGAAGAGTCAAGATTTCATATTATAGGGAAAACTGACTCAATAAAAAGTGAGTGGTGTCAAAGTTGAAAGTTAAATTCGGTTGTTCGCTTCGAGTATTAAACTATTCTCTTTTTGTATCTCTCTTTCCTTCATCATCACTGATGTTCTGCTTGCACAGTAACTCTTGTTCTCGTTAATCATATTCTCCCTGTGCTCTACGCTCACCTATGCTCTCGGTTCACTCTCCCCTTCACTGTTACCTTCTTGCAGATGGATAATTAAATACTTAAGTTCAAGTGTGAGGTGTGGCATACATATAAAAAGTTTGGATAAGAGAAAAAGTCTCAGAAGGAAACTTATAAATTTTAATATAGATATTTTTGCCTTATTATGTCTTATTTTTTCCTTTTGTTTTATTTTATTTTTTTATTTTGTCTTATTCTTTTATTTTAATGAATGGGCAGATAATAATAATAATATAGAATGATAGGACAATGTATACAGATGGTCATCGTCGGCTAGTCATATAGGTATATCTATATATATTTTTTTCCCGTTCTGTGACCAATCAGATTAAAGTTCCTGAACTGAAACTTTCTATATTATAATATAGATAATATAGATATATATATACTCACAAATACGATTGAAATCGACATAGCTTCGACCGGATCCCTGAATTGAAAAGTTCCCTATCAAATCTCTAGATGTTGCTACAACGATAACATATATCATGTTGGCTTGAAGATCAGCTGTGACGTTAAACTGATCTTGATTACCAGATATTTCACGACGACTCAGCACATTTTTAGACACATCGAATGGATTGAAGTTATTTGTGTAGATATAAGAATACATGGTTTTCATCTCGCTGTTGATTAGAAAACTGTAATATCCAGTTATAGTGACGTTCATTTGTATTGCTTCATAATATGAACCTAACTCTGAACATTCTTGAAAATAAATTGAACTATTTCGTGTCAACGATGATGAATACATTGTTTCTATAACTAATGACTTATCTATTGAATGAAAGAAATCAATGAGTATTTATATTTAGAAAAAAGAAAATAAATGATTGTGTATATTCTTAGTTTGCTTTTCATTCTGTTTACTAATGAGAGTTGAATCGTTTGTTTTAGAGCAATGCTTTTAATAGAGAAATGAAGAAAAACATGAAAGAAAATATCTATTTAGCGACCGTACAATAAATCTCGATGTTAGCCCTTAAGATCGGTATGTTCTTCTCAAGAGACGTTGTAATAATTACAGTAAAATGTTAAAAAACCTCGAATACAAAAACAAGTATCATTCTGGACTAAGAAAGTCTAGTAAGTCATAGACTTACAAATTTATAACTTCTTCGTTGTCATCTTTATCTTCAAACTTTTCTTCTTTTATAAATATAATACAGAAATTCGTTTTTTTGTCGATATCACTAAGCATAAAAATAAACTATCTGATGAAAGTATTTCATAAAGTTTTAGTCAATCTACGAGTATGGCATGACATCATCAAGGAAATGTTGGTTGGCAATGAAATTTAATCTTAACAAATCAAAATATTCTTATATTTAATCCATTGTTAAAATATTATAAAAGCGACTCTCTTATTATTTTTATTCGAATAACACGTATCTCGAATAATCAGGCAAGAATGGAACTTTTCCTTATTCTTGTTGTTAGCATTTTTCTGTGAAGGCACTAACCGACGTTTAAATGTCACTTCCTTGTGATAATCCTGATTTTATTCTCGTTTGTCAACCAGAATCATGACCACAAATATAACATAATCGTTTTCAAATCTAGAGAGTAAAGGTGACATTCTCAATCTCTATGATTGCACTACAAGTTGTAGTTAACACTCAGACATACGGCCATTTTTCTCTAATGGATGTTTTATACCTACGAATTTGAAAGCACATTGAACAACTATGCAAAACGACTTTTCGTTGATTTCAAAGCAATTTGTCAGATGTTTTTTTTTGAAATAGAGAATTCGACGTGAGAAAATTTTCTTAACATCGATATTTACTTGGAAGTGTTTTTAGTTCGATAAAGATTTGATGAATTTTAATGAAAATTTTATTTTTCATGAATGTCTTACGTTTCATAAGACTATTGTGCTCATTATTTTCTACGGTATCATCCTTGACTTTTCTACTAAATACATAGACATTCTAACTTCTATCTGTATCGTGCAACTAACGAGGGAACCACCCCAGGGATCAACAAGCTTTTGAGTTGAAATTTTGCCCACAAGTAGGGGATGCATAG